ATGTCTTATTCTCCTTGTAAAGGCCTTAGAGTTTTGTTTTAGAAAATCTGAGCCTAAATTAAATTTTAAATTAAATTTCATTTCATTGGAAAGTTCTTATATAATGATGTCACATATTTGGCAGACTCATCTTCACTACAGGCTGTGCTTTAATATTGCAAATGCTGGAGAGAGGTTTTGTGTTACTTGAAATTCCAGGATAGTGGTAGAACTAGGCTAGAAATGGTGCAACTTGAATAAACAAAAGGAACCTGAGTAATACATTAAAAGGATAATCGAATTTTAACTCAGCTTACTAAGCTAGAAACTTCCGATCGGCTTTCTATCCTTGAGAATTTGCTTTCTTTAATCTTTTTAGAAAAACCATTCAAATAGTGAGATTCTCAAAGCTAGTTTTGAGATTAAGATTGTGGATGGGAAGATTTTTATGGAATTCATTAGTGAAATGATGTTTGTGTAGATGAAAAACATACCAGCCAAACAGTTCAGTCAAGGTACCATTGACCTGGGTGCTAATAACATGTTAATTTCCATCAGGGAGACAGCAATGTATGGCAGTTGGGCAGCAGAGAGGATTTAACTATTTTTCATTAGCACTTAGACTTTGATAAAGGAGAATAGAAAAGAGCTGCTTGACCTTTCAGTGCTTAAATTATTAAAGAGCAAATAGATTTGAGGTCTGGATGCTTGCAAATCTAATTTGTCTTTTGGAGCAAGGATGAAAAGACATTTGGGGTTTGAAATTGCTCTAGTCAACTTAGTTCTTGCTTTAATATATCTAGAGATGAGTAGATGGTAGCCATTTAAAAAGTAATGTGTCCAGAGTAGAGTGAATAGTATAACTAATACCAGCTGGCTATAAAGGAGGCCCATTAAATGATCATTTAATTCTCAAATTTTCATCTAATCCTCATTAAGTTACTGCTTGGAAATAATTAATTTTTATCCATATTCATGTAGATGCTATTTAAATTACAATTTTTTGTCTAATTAGGAAATGTCTTATTAGGGAACAATACATTGTATTGTTTTGAGTTAAAGTAGGGCAGCGCCTGGTACATAGTAGGCACTCAAAAATATTTGTTAGTAAAGACGTGAATATATTCATATATCACACATGCTAGTGATATTAGGAAAGGAGGAATAGGAAGTGAGAGGTGGAGGTGAGAGGAGGGTAAAGGAAACAGGGATGTAGAGTCTGAGTCCCTTGGGGTTCCTTATTTAATTGTGACTCATACAAGATAAACTTAAATTTCAGTCAGCACATCTTATCATAGTTTTTTTCTTGGTAACTTCTTCGTCTTTTTACTCTTGGGTATTCAGGAAATGAATACAAAATAAGCTTACTATTAAATTTTAGTAAAGCACAGCACACTTATGAATATCAGGACCTTCACCCTAACTACCACATGCAGTATATAATATCCCCAGATAAAATGTAAGAGACTTTTAGATTATATTGTGCTTTCAAAAATTGTGCTTCACGCCCACTTCATTGTAAAGAGCCATGAGACACAAAAATGACTAAGTCATACCCTTCCTCCTTCAGGAACTTAGGAGATTTGAAAATAATGATAAAAGAACTCCATTGACTGTAAGTCTTCACAGAAAACATATTTTCATGAGTGTGGAGCAAAGCAAGAGCAAATCAAAATGAGGATCAACTGAAAGCCCCTGAGAGAGGGACCCTGTGCTCCCAACAGTGCACATCTATCTTCATTTTTCAGCTTTCTCTTCTATATGGGTTTCCTAAAAGTTACTTTTAAATTGAAATTATTCCCTACCAGAAATGAACCAGAAAAGCTGACTTTTTGAAGGAAGCTGATTTTTGTGGTGTATTTTATTGAATGGAGAATCCCTTTGCAGAGCAAGTAATTGTTCTTATGATTTGTGAGGGTAGTTCTTATACATTGAATCAAAAATCTAGGTGCATGAAATGAACCCTAGATATCTACCTAATTCTCTCACTTCCTAGGGAAAAATAAGACTTCCACAAAATAATTTGAAGTTAGTTAATTGAGTCATTCGTAGAATTAGGATTAAAGCCCAGACCAGTGCACTGTCTCAATCCCAACAAAAGCAATTTCAACAGGAGTGTCATATTTTTTCAGTGCTATGTGTCTTAATGGTGCTCTGGGTTAAACTTCTTCCATAGCTGACATCTGCTACAGAGCAGGTGTCATTTAGTCTTTGACTTTGACCCTCTTATTTGGCCTGATATACAGATTAGTACTGCACCCCTCCACCTGTGGTAGATAAATTCCAAGGCGTCCAGTGGGTGCCTGAAACTGCAAATAATACCAAACACTACCTGTACTATGTTTTTTTATATACATGCATACTTAGGATAAAGTTTAATTTATCAAGTAGGCACAAAAAGATATTACCAACAATAACTAATGATAAAATAGAACAATTATAACAATATGCCATAACAGAAATTATATGAGAATATGGTTTTTCTCTTGAACAATGAGGTCAAATGTTTCTGTTTTGGGATGGCAGTTGACTGAGGATAACTAAAACCACCAAATGCAAAATGGTGGCTAGCAGGGGCAACTTATTATATTTGCTGCATATCAGACAGTGTGAAAGAGCCTTTTTATTCTGTTATGATATTTTGGGTCAGCAGAGGGTGAACCAGGCAGCTCCTGGTTGAGGTTCGTTAGGATGGCCTTCTAAAGGCACTCACACACATGGCTGCCAGGACCACTGCCACCATTTGAGGGACTTGCAGCCCCTCAAATGTCTTTTGGAGCATGGCAGGTGCAGTCATTGAACCACTTACTTGATGGTTGGTTTCTCCAAGAGCAGGCTTCCCGAGGGAAACTGGTGGAAGATGAATATACAGTGTCCTTCTGCAACATTCTGTTGGTCCCTTGTGAGTCATTCATTAAGTAGCACCAACTCCACCTTCTGATGGGGAAAAGTCAAGATCTTTGTAGATGTGTTTTAAATCACCACATCTGAGTATTTGTAAGTTTCACAAGTCAGGGACAAGGAAGAGAGAATTCAAAGCCTGCTCTCCTCCCTTATGTGTCCTTGATGTAGGAAGATGCTTCCTAAGTTCTTCCTTTCATGTTACATCTATCATGCAGGGAGAAATCTATCAGATTTGGTGGCCTAATTTATATGACTAGACCCATTGGAAACTGATGTGAGAAAAGAGATTCTTCCTACCTTCCTTCCTTCTTTCCTCCCTCCTTCCCTCCATCCCTCCCTTTTCCTCCTCTGCCATCCCTTCCCCTTCCCTTTCTCTTTATTTATCACTGGTAAGAATTCACTTTATCATCACGCTGTAAGACCACCTATGTGCTGAGCAACCACTCTGATGTTCTACAGCAGATGATTTTGGTGAGACAAGATTACAAACAGAATGACAGCATGTGCTTTCTAATGGCAGTAGACTGTGTTAAGTGGTTATATTCACAGAGGTAGAGGGGCTGACTGAGTACAGATTCATGTGTCACACAGACAAAAGCAGTAAAGAGGCATTCGCAGGACAGTGGGGGTGACAGGCACCCTCTCCCAGCTTCTTTCTTGGTGTTAGTGGGTAGTTTTGCTGACGAACTCTTGGATCACATCATTGTTCTAGAGATTCACGGCGTTTTTCTGATACTGCAGGGAAAAGATACATCTCATTGCTAGAAGGACTTTTAATCTAATCTGGATCCAATTTGTGAAAGCTGTTGTTAAGATTTAATTTTGTTCAGCAGGAGAAACTTTTTTCCCAATAAAAGTATAGGAATAGCTCATCATTCCAGCAAATTTAAATATCTTAATTTTTTAAGAAGCCCTTCATTCAGGGTTTCTGATTGTCCTAAGGTCACTTCAATATCCAAAAACACCAGAAGGGGGGCAGATAACTGAAGTCCAATCTCCAGTGGGGATATTGTCCTTTCAGGCGTCTTCAAAAGTACTCATTGCCATTTTGTCTTTATATGTGACTCAGGTGGCGTTGCTCATTATTTCCTTTTATAAATCACTTGTCACTCCAAAGCCTTGGCTTTAGAGATTCTAATTGCTTGTCTCTGTTTTTCTTATGTCATCTCTTTCCACTGACTGAACATGGTCAAGGGCAATGAAATATAAGGAAATATGGGGAGGAAGCTAGACCTTAGTTAACATGAACCCCACACATTGTGCTTTGTGACTTGTTAAAACTTCACATGTGTCCATTACAGATCTCGCTGAAGAAACTGATACATTGCTTTTCTTTATAAACCTACAGTTAATCTCATTTCATTTATCAGGAAAGCTGACTTAATTCTGTGGAAAGTCATCTTCAGTTGCATGCAAGAAGCATCATTGTATTGTCTTGTTTAGGAACAGCAGATATTGTCACACAGTTTTTTAAGTTGTTTCTCACCATAAATTGCATTACTTTGGGCTAGATAGAATGCTGAGCATTGAATGAGGGTCTTTTAAGTACCATGCAAGTATTATTGACTATGTTCAGAGTATTCTTTATTTCTGATATGCTTCTGTGCAATTGAAGGCATAGTGGATCAGCTCAGTTATAACAAAATGTCATTGATGATTCTATTTTTTTCTAGTGTCTATCAGATAGTTGTTGAGGAAGAGCGTCCTCGAAGAGCTAAAAAAACAACAGAAATCCTAAAGTGCTACCCAGTACCAATTCACTTCCAGAATGCTTTTCTTTATAAACCTACAGTTAATCTCATTTCATTTATCAGGAAAGCTGACTTAATTCTGTGGAAAGTCATCTTCAGTTGCATGCAAGAAGCATCATTGTATTGTCTTGTTTAGGAACAGCAGATATTGTCACACAGTTTTTTAAGTTGTTTCTCACCATAAATTGCATTACTTTGGGCTAGATAGAATGCTGAGCATTGAATGAGGGTCTTTTAAGTACCATGCAAGTATTATTGACTATGTTCAGAGTATTCTTTATTTCTGATATGCTTCTGTGCAATTGAAGGCATAGTGGATCAGCTCAGTTATAACAAAATGTCATTGATGATTCTATTTTTTTCTAGTGTCTATCAGATAGTTGTTGAGGAAGAGCGTCCTCGAAGAGCTAAAAAAACAACAGAAATCCTAAAGTGCTACCCAGTACCAATTCACTTCCAGAATGCGTCAATCCTGAACTCCCAGTACTATTTTGCTGCTGAATTTCCAGCAGACAGCCTCCAAGCTGCTCAGCCTTTTACTGTTGGTGATAATAAGACATACAATGGATACTGGAACACTCCCCTTCTTCCCCATAAAAGCTACAGAATTTACTTCCAAGCTGCTAGTAGAGCCAATGGGGTAAGTCTTATAGATGACTATTTATTTAGGCTATTTGGAGTTATTAATGTGAACATGGATTAAAATAGTAGTAAAAAAGTAAAGTCACACAAAAGTATGATTTTACTTATAAACATTTTTTTCTCTCTTTCAAAGTCATTTTCATCCGAGAAATCTGTGGAGAGAAATGAGTATATCCATTTTGGGGTGGGGTTGGGAAAGCATATCATCAACATGATTTTTATTTTCAGATTTTCTTATTACAAAAAGTTGGCTAGTCATTCTGCTTAGCTAACTATTTTATAGGAAAACAGTGTAGCTACAACGCATATATTCAACTCCTTTAAAATTTTGTGAAATCTACAATATCAGTCTTTTCTGCATAGTCTGCCCCATTTCCTTAGCTCCAAAGATTTTATTCTTCCTCTAGCTGTGACTAAATTAGGTATTTTTTTTCCCTAAGAGAAAACAGTTTTAGAAAGATGGAACCAAAATTAAAACTACCATTGAGTCTTTTATGAAGACTTTTCCCGTTCCTGTTCAGACCAACCCAGAGCTCTGATAAGACTTTCAAGTTTCTTTAGACAGAAGGAAACATTTTCCAGACTCCAAAGTGAGTTCGCTCCTTCACAGCACAGGTCTAGGTATCATGGTCCACCTGACGTTTGCCAGTGAAAGGCAAGGAAATCTGGACTTCTTCCCTAGTACTATTTGCATGGAGAGCATACAGGTCTGGTGTAGGAATCCGGGGCCACTGGGTAAAGACGTTTTGTGTCTAGCTCCTCACTCATCATCCAGTCCAGAAATGCCAACTCTACTGGCCCTGAAGTCAGAAAATGTATCCATGCTTGGTTTGTGGAGTAATCTGTGTGTGATAAAAGCCACACTTGAAACAATGAGCGCTTTCCTTATCTGTTCTTCAACTAGAACTACATTTATATTGTTTTAAATAAAAGATGAATAGTAATTTTCCTCCTTTTTTATTTGATACAGGAAACCAAAATCGACTGTGTCCGAGTGGCCACAAAAGGTATGTTGAAAATGTAGGATGATCTCCTGGTTTATAGCTCTCAAAATCTATTTTTAGAATGTGTTTCAAAACTTCTTGAAATGTAACTTCACTGAAATAAGTTTGTGTATGTATGTGTATATGTATCATATATAAATGCTTGTGTGTATGTATGTTTGTATGTATGTATTAGGATCTTGTGGCAAATAACGTTGAGTATTTAATTCAGATATTTTTATTAAATGAAATATACTGATGTGTTCCAAGCAGTTTTCAATGGTTACATTTTTAAAAATTCTCTATATACTAATTTTTATATGATGTAGGTATGCCTGTTTTAAACCATAGTGCATCATACCTGGTAAAACTATAATTAGTGAATCTTCATATAAAAAGGAGTAGAATATTGCTCTCCTCCTGTTTTTGAGATGGGGCCTCATTGTGTTGCCCAGATTGGCCCCAACTCCTGAGCTCAAGTGATCCTCCTGCCTCAGCCTTCCCAGTGGGCTGGGACCACATGTGTGAACTACCATTCCTGGCACTCCTGCTGTTTTGCAGCAGTGATCTAGTCATAATAGCAGTATAAGCCAAGTCTACATGGACTCTTTGCACTAATGAAGCTTGACTATGAACCCAGTAGCCAGATAATGTTACCGTGCAATTTATGCTTTCCTGGCCTAGTTAACGTTCTGACGGATGTGATCAGAGATGAGCCATGAAAGTGGATAGGGTGTCCCACCATGTATTTCCCTACACAATGGAAGGTGCAGATGTATGTCCTTGTATACATAGAGTAATGTCTCATCAACTTATGGCACCGTTTCAGGACTTTGGAAACACTGCACTATTGCATTCCATTTACCCTTATGGTATGAGAAAGTAAATCTAGTTCCAGGGTACCTAATTTATAATGTCTTATGTTTAACATCACAGCTAAAAGATATAGAATCACTTTCATCCATGTGTTCTCATTTATTTCCATGAAAAAGGATAAGGGTACTGCTGTTCTTATTTTTAAGATGAAGAAAATCTGTGCTTTGAAATAAATTAACTTGTCAGGGTCACTCAGACAATAATCTGTGCATCAAGGTTTGATCCCAGGTACATGGAGTCCTACCTCGGGGTTCATTCACTTTATATCATGGTTTTCCATCTAGAAGCAACTGGCCATCTTATACTATCATGTAGTATAAGCATCTGACCTTCCCTTTATTAGAATTGAGTCACTGCCCAGTTTACTGTGAAAACAACAAAACATCTGTCATTTACATAGTTAAATAATTATATAAATCACATACTAGTAAATATGGAAACCTGACAAGTTTGCTGCTTTCACAATAGATTGAATTAGATGGTGATTTGGATCATTTTTCTCCAATCAGCTAGATTCCATCAATATTGTAATTTGTTTTTCAATTCACCAAAGGATGATTAGGCAATCAGATGACCTGATTGACTAAATAGTCCCCACTCATATTTTCTGAGTCATTTGCAAACATTTATACAGCAACAGACTCTATCCAAATAATCTCTTTGGGGGGAAGAGGGAAACAAATTTTAATATTTACTGCCTAATGCTGTCATTTCTGTTTCATAAAAACATAGGACAGTAGGAAATCTTGGGAGATAATTTCCCTCCAGGCAAATGACACTGTTCTGTGATGTGTTATTAAATTCTACATGGGCAGATTCAGCAGTTCCCCTTTACATCTCAACGTGATGTTTCACCACCTTTATAATGAGAAATGTTCCCTTCTTCATACTAAAAGTTCTTTTTTCAGCACAGGAAGCCATTCCATCCTGATTATTTAGCCAAAACAGAGAAATAAGTAGATCTAATAATTTTCTAAGTACCATGTAATACAGATACTTGAAATTTATGAGTTCAAACATTCTGAGTGTGTTATGCCGCACATTGCTGGCAGGGTGATGGCTTAGTTGAGTTTCAGATACTAAGTCACTTTCCTATGCAGCATTGTGAGTGTGCAAAGATTTCCAGTGTTCTCATGAAACAACTATTGACAAATGCATTTATTGCAAAAGTATGGAGGTCGATCTGTTTCTGAAAGAGTTTGCAATTTCAACTAATGGTATGGCTCTTAAAAATATATTTCATACTATTTATAAATTTAATGTGATTAATCATATTCCAAAGATATATTTTGACACTCATCATTTCAAATCTAAAACCTCATAAAATTAGACACTAAAAAAGCCCTAATGCATGTTATTAAATATTTTCATGTTGGAGGGTTGCCTATACTTTTATATATCCTCCTTTAATTTGTGCATCTACATGAGATCCCCATAGGGTCACATGACCATAATTTGTTGATTATAGACAAACTCATACCAGAATATTCTCTCTTGAGTTAAAGGACAAAGACACCCTACAACAGGTGATGCATGATGTTTGGAAGTAACCATCCCATTTCAAATCTGTACCATGGAGTGAGCAGAAGATCTTGTAACTATTCTTAGTTTCTCCAAATTTACAGTTTTTTGAAATCACATTCATATTTTTATACTTGTATCCTTTTCATGATCATTTGTTCCAACTTTGACTTAGTAATTAGTATGTTTTCTATAAGTTTTATATTCTTTAGTAACTGTTAAGGTAGATATATTTTTCCTATGGGAGTTTTGGAAGGCTTTATAGATGACCAGTTGTAAACTGAGAAGATTCACTTAAAAATTACAGTCCATTCTAATAGTTAATTAGATCTCTTGTATGAAATGAAGTATATTTACTATAGTCAACACAACATTCGGGGTCAAGTACATAAATTACATTCATCTTCCATAACATAATGTTTTCCACACTAAAATGCCACATGTATGTCTCTCCTTAGCAATATAACCATTGAGCTTTCCTGTTACCCACTTAGTTTAAAAAGTATTTGAATGCCTACCCCATGTTAGATATAATCTGTAAGAGTTCTAAGTATAGATACATAGGTATAGCAACCTTTGAAGATTTTGAGCACATAAAAAGTTTGGGGTGGTGTTTATTTTTTGCATTTCAGGGGGCAGGAGTTGGTCATATATGTTTGCTCCTCTTCTTTCTATGATTTAGCTAACAGCAGAGTAGCTAGAAGTGAAAACAAAATCTGCATGCAAATACATGCTCAGTTATTTCCTAAACTACTATAGAAATCAGACTATGATCCTTACAAGAAGAAAACATACTTTCCAACATATTTTAAGATGAATGTTCTATGAAAAAATGCTTCACTGTTTGTAAGTTTGGTATTTTATTTGACTCAAATTTATACTGAATGTGAATAGCTTTGCTGGAAGACCTTGAGGAAACTTTGAAGGATTTCTATTGTTCTGGCATAATTTCTAACTGTATTCAGAAATTTGAATGTTTCCTTTTTTAATCACTAGGCTCTTAGAGAAGTTTCTCCAGACTATTTTTCTTTGCACTCTTTTGTTCAAAGAAATACCATCCTTTCTAGACTATACTGCTACAGAATGAAACTATGCTGATAAAAGAACTAAAAAGAATGTGTGCTGAGATGTAAAGCTAATTAAGATTCCTTTTAATTACTCATATTCAATACAGGAGCAAACAAATGATGTAGTAAGGCCTCTCATATATACCTCTAAATCATCTCCTATTATTTAGGCCATGGATTTTGAAATAGGAACATACACATGCAATACTCAGCATTTTATAGAGAAAATGTTTTCTTGATCTGCAGGTCTTCATAATGTATATAAGGAATACATTAACCCCACCTCCCCATGAGGTTCCTAAAAACAAGAAACCACAAAAGCCCTATGATTCCCGAGTGTATTTGATGCAAACTCATTTTTTCATGGAATACCAGGGTCATGGAAGACACAGTTTGGGAAATGCTGTTTCAGTGAATTCTAAAATGATCCTCCAGTACGTAACTGAAATGTCATTTAGGGGCTGGGGGTGTTGCTCAAGGTGTAGAACAACTGCCTTGCCAGTTCCTGAGTTCAAACTCCAGTAAAAAATGAATAAGTGCCAGGATGGTGGCTTGTGCCTGTAATCCTAGCTAGCAGGAGGTAGAGATCTGGTGAATCTGTAGTTCGAGGGCAGCCCAGCAAAGAAGTAAGCAAGACCCCCATCTCAACCAGTAGCTGGACATGCTAGTGCACACCTGTCATCCTAGCTATGCAGGAAGCCTAAATAAGAGATCGCAGTCTACAGGCAAAGAATGCAAGACCCACCTCCAAAAATAACTAAAAGCAAAAAGGGCTGGAGGCATGGCTCAAGTGGTAGAGCATCTGCCTAGCAAGCACGAGGCCCTGAGTTAATGCCCAGTACCATCAAAAAAAAAAAAAAAAAAAAAGAAATGAAACTTGATCTACTCCATGTATTATTTACTTTTCATGCCTGAAGGATACACTAAACTGATCACCACCATATATCGTCTTTAAAAAGTATAGGATTGCAGCTGCCAGTGGCTTATGCCTGTAATCCTAGCTACTTGGGAGACTGAGATCAAGAGGATTGAGGTTTGAGGCTGGTTCAAGATACCCCATGTCCAGAATCACCAGACCAAAATGGACTGGAGGTGTCACTCAAGCAGTAGAACACCTATTTTGCAAGCATGAAGCACTGAGTTCAAACCCCAATCCCTCCCTCCAAAATAAAAATTGAAATTTCTGACTTACTTCTGCGAAATTCAATGACATTCTCTTTTGTAATGCATTCTTACTGATTTTTTAAGGCAGGTGTCGACAAACAACAAACTTTTTATATCACAGGCCAGATAATAAATACTTTATTTTGGCCTGGGGTATAGCTCAGTAATAGAGTCCCTGCGTTCATCCTCTAGTGTCAAAATTAATAAATGAATAGATAAATCCTATTTTAGGCTTTGTGGAATATGATTTCTGGCACAACTACTCAGTTCTGTCTTGTTGGGTAAGAACAGGCATAAATGATACCTAAATAATTGAGCTTGGCCATTTTCTGATAAAACTTTATTTATAAAAGCAAACGGTAGGCCTGCTGGCCCATTTTACAATAATTTGGAACATAATCAAGTGTTTTCATTGAACTAAAAATAATAGTTACCAAAAAAAAAAACCAAAACACCACTGTGTGAAGCCCAAAACAGATCATATAAAGTCCCTTCCTCATGCTTGTAATGTACATTTTACTTAGAGGCAGGCTTAGCCTCAGACTGTAGTTTGAGTTCTTTTTTATTTATGAATACCTTGTGGCCCATAGCTATTTTCAAGTAACTTTTTGATAATGTTGCTTACTTTGTCAGGTATTAGATAAGTGCTCTGTTGTTCTATAAGATACTATCTTTTTTTCAAAAGTAGATGCCATGTTTTCCTGCATGTCATGCAAAACTGCACAGGAGTACACCATTCGTCTGTGACCAACCAAAAATTTTATGCATGTAGAACTTGGAGTTGATGCCAACTTTGTAAAAAGTCTCAGAAATAACATTTTACCACATACAACTTATTATATCAGTATGCAAAATTGCAGAATATGTCACATCTAGAAAACAATGTTCGTAAAACATTGGAAACTCTGTTCTCTGACCAGTTTGTCCATCTCACTTAGCAAAACTAGAATATATTCATTAATAATGTGTGAAAGGTCGCTATACCATTTTTAAACTTAGTTACTGCAGTTATCTGGCTATAAGGAATAACACTGATACAGGGGGATATTTCAAAATATTATGCAGCAGCAGTTTTGGGTTTAATTGTCTACAGATGGCAGATGATCTATTTTCCTTACCCGCTACACATTTCTAATGGCACCCAGGCTGTTCCATGTAAATTAGTAATCTTTCATGTAAGCCTGCCCTTAATTTTCCAATATTTTTTCTTTGCATCATTTTCCAGTTGTATCATGTTAGAACTGACGTTTTAATTTTCTCTCTTTTTTTTTTTTTCCCAGTATCTATATGTCATAAATGTTAACCAGTTAAATACAACTGCTGAGCTGTTCAGGCAAACCAAGAAGCCCACCTAGTTTGCTTCAAGAATCTGAATCATTTCTTTGGTCACATGTTAACCGTGACAATTACAGCAAACGAAATTAGCTGTTTCAACTTTGTCTTTAGCCAATACTTTGAGACACATTTTTTTTTAGAAATCTGCATGAATTTAGTTATCAGAGAAATTAGCCTCTTTAAAAATGTTTTTAGTAAAGGAGGATAATATTCTTCACAAAGGTGATTTTAGCAATAGAAAATATTGTGACTTAAGCAACATAAGTTTAAGTAACCTAATAAATTTTAAAAGCATAACATTTGTATCATCAGAATTAGCAATGAATCTTATACTGCATACTCAGTTGCTCTAGAAACCCTTGTTTGGTCTTCAGTTTAATGTAGGACTAACATTTTGGTTTTCTTTTACTTTTTTTTTAATCCTTCAGTTAATCTATCCAAGATCTTAGCCAAAGCTTGCAACTGTGTCAGAGTTAGAAATCCTGTGGCCTGACTATAGCTTGTTTTAGAGAAAAGAATTCAGAAAATTCAATACCTTGCTATGTTTTTTTTTTTCCTTTCTTTTTTCCTTTTCTTTTTTGTTTTTGAAACAAAGTTGAGACAATTTGATATACTGATGGGAATTCTTCTTGTTAGCCTAGCTTCAGTCTGGCTTTTTTTTCCCTCATGCATGCTGACCTGGAAATCCTCCTTTGCCTTAGCTGCGATAATCGTGACTCAGCTTACAACACCTTACATTCGCATCGCCCCTGCTGCAGGCGACGGCCAACTAACAGGTCAGATGTTCAAGTATAGATGAGTCATCTTGCCCATTTCCTGCTCATTTTTCTCAGCTTTGTTTCCCCTCTACATTTCCTCCTCTGCTTAAGGCCTGTTTACAATGTTTCAGACCCTTGGTCTAGACCTGTGTTTGCATTAAGTTAAGTGACATGCTTGGCCTCTTCTGTGTGCACATTTATGTCCATGCATTAAGTACAACTCCACTGCATGTTTTCATTGTGTGTTTGGTCTGTTGGTGTGTTCCTTTCTAGTCTAATGTTATGTAGAAATGAAATTTTCTGGATTTGTGATAGCAATGACATCAATTGATAGGATTTCAAGCAGAATACTTAAAGATGTATTCCTGTTTTTCCAAATTAATCTAAAAATCCATTGAGTTTCATTGAGAATGACAAAGGTTTATTTTTCATCCCACAAGGATGAGTTTGCCCATGCATTGGCAATACACAATCCTATCTGCCAATATTATTAAATGAAGCCACTCCAGGGCTGTTTAGGGTGATAATGTTCAAATAGTTTTATGTGCAAGCACAAATGTTGCGGAGCTGATTGCATTCCTTATAGATTCTTGTTGCAAAGCAAACCACTTACATAGTGCAGTGACAGGTCTGTCAGCCAATTGCATTGAGTAATTTAGGAAAGTTTAGAAGAGTTGAGTGGCTTATAGTTATGGAGCCAAACTGGATGCTTCTTTATATTAAGAGAAACTAGGCTAAGCATGATGGCTCAACCTGTGATCCCAGGGACTTGGAAGCTGAAATTAGGAGGAACACAGTTCAAGGCCAGCCCAGGCAAAGAGTTAGTAAGACTCTATCTCAATCAATAAACTTAATGTGGCAATGCACACCTGTGAACCCAGCTATTAGGAGACCCTAGGTAGGAGAATTGTGGTCTAGGCCAGCCAGGTAAATACTGGAGATCCTACCTGAAAAGTAACTAAAACAAAATAGGGCTGGGGGTGTGGCTTAAGTGGTAGAGCACCTGCCTACCAAGCATGAAAGTATGCGACCCTGAGTTCAAAACCCGAGTACTGCAAATTAAAAAAAGAAGTAGCTTGTTCACACTTTCCCCCCTAAAGATATATGAAAATGTAGGATAGGAATCCAGTAAATTACTCCAGATCCAAGGTGAATAGTTAGTGCATTCCAGAAAGCTTTGTCCTTAAATAAAAGCAAGATTTCTAATCTAATCAGATGAGCAGATGTCAAAATTCTGGATTCAGAAGGACCCATAGTCTGAGGACTAGTACATGTAGTTGAGACATAATTATAGGCAAGTAGGAAACACACAGCCCCCTTCCATAGAACTTCCACTCCAGCAATTGTCTTTTTGTGTACAAAACTAGGGAATATTCCCTGACATTCAAGAAAATGGTGAAACTTAACTCATATAAATGTTGGACTATAGGAATTGCTCAAGTGGTAAGAGTGCCTTCCTAGCAAGCATGAGGCCCTGAATTCAAACCCCATTGCCACCAAAAAAAAGAAAGAAATGATAAATGTATGGTTGTTCTGTGAACTTACGACTTTGGAAAATAAAGCAACTGAGACTCAGGAAAATTATAGGGTGATTTGATAAGATAGAAAAAGTAAAATAATTCTACTCCTCCACTAGAATTCTGTACACATTTTCAGAGCCTAAGAGCTGTAAGTTTTCTGGCATTTCAAGTTTCTTTTAAGCCTATTTCTTTTACTTATTGAAGTCCAGCTTATTACAAACTCTTCCTTTGTTACAAACTCTTCCTTATCTGGAACTTCTGATGTGCTCCTCCCAGCAGTGAAAGTGTCAGAGTGATTGTATCTTTCCAAACACAAGTCCTCCTCTCTAAAACTTTTCCATTTGAGGACTGGCAGCTGGCATTGTGTGTGGGGTTAGGTGTCCCTCTTGAGGGTCCTCTCAGATCCTTCCACAGGTCTCATGCTTTTTCCCCCATTATATCTGAACAAACCCCAGTCTTGTCAGCGAGTCATTAAAACTAGATTGGCCTCACCATCATAAAAGGCATCCTTATGGGAAATCTAGTTAAATAGCCCTTCTCAGGCTTTACCATAGACTGCTGTCATCAAATGAAGCATAGTGTTCACTAGGCAGGATGTAAATGAAGCTTCTCGATTCAGCTTCCTCTGTAAAACATGTGATTATGATACCTCTTAAAGAAGCCTTGTTCATAACGCTTTCAGAACCAGCACCTGCTACTATTTAGAACTAGTCTATGAAGGACACTCACATCACCACAGGTATGGCCACCCTTCTTCTTAAGGATATAGTGGTCGCGTGATTATTTTGGTTTATTGGGGATTAAAATGATGAAAGATCAGAATAAGGCCTCAAAAACTCATAAAAGATGCCTTGATTATTTCTTCTATATTTGCTGCTAATTTTAATGATAGTTCATCTTACCCAGATACATTCATACTCCAGTCATTTTTTCTTTTGCATTTTTCATCTGTATCAGCCATCAACTTTAATAGCAGAAACACTGTCTTTTTTTTTAACAGGTTTATTCCCAAGTCAGACTGCAAGCCCTAGACCTCATGCATTCAATCATTTTTTGACATTTATTAAGCACCTTCTTTGTCCCAGGCATGGATCAACAACTCTAAGAGTCTAAGTTTGTGTGGTTGCCCAGATATTTTAGTATGTTTGTAGCTAAAACGTCAAAACCTATGCATACACATACTCAAGTGACTGAAAAGTTAGTATCCTACTTGTCATTTAGCCAAGCTGATGCGGGGAAAAGACATGAGTTTGATAACCTGTCTCTCGATGATAAGCATCTGAGGAAACGGTTAGGGTGTCAGCTGTGAACTTTCCCATCTGTGACCATGGTAGTTTTCTTTACTAGAGCAGTCGTTTCCCTTCCAGAAGCCAGCAGGAGATGCAGGAGGAAGGGAGGGAGGCTTTTTTGTTCATTTCGTCCTAGTCTGTTGATATCTTGCCCTCGATGTCCTGTTTAGTGCTAAACTCCCACTAAGAAGCTCTCAGGAGACCGAGGTTCCTTTGCATCCTCTTTCCTCTCCTGCCAGTGTGCATTGTGTGCTGGTTAGGTGGGCCTTGGTGTAGGTGGAACCATCCTCGCTTGGCTAACACCAAAGAAAATAGGCACCCCGGGGACCGCCCTGGCCCTCGGAACTGTGCGGTGCACAATTTTTTTAGTTGAAATCCTTGAAAGAACAGCCCAGCTGCCTGTAGTCTTCCAGAACAGAAGCTCTTACTATAGACTAGGAGCATATGTGTCCCAGGCAGCCCTGGGTTGCACTGGGGAATGTCCCCTAAACATTTTGTCATCCATCAACAGTAATAAATTATTGTTACCCAATTAAGATGCATATACACCCACACAAGTTTAGCTAAAGCAAAAGATTTAGAGGCCATTCTACCAACACTACTCACTGCCTAAGATGTACTCTGACTCTCCCTATTCTGTTCCATTTTACTCTGTTTCATTTTGAAAAAAAAAAAAACCTTCTAGTTGCTACCTATTAAATTCATTTCATTTTTCACTAATGAGTTTAACCCAAGTTTTAAAAAACACTTTGTCAAAGCGCTAAATTTAGGAGCAAGTGAAAGGTAGCAGAATGTCCCACTGAAGATCCTCTCTACCTCAAAACTCCTACTCCAGAATGCACACACACAAGGAAAGTTCTAGAAACTGGAAATGCATCTAGTCACTACCTCATTCCCTTTATCTTTGGATTCATTGTTCATAATATACAACTGTTTGGGGAATAAAATCGAAAGCTGAACATGCTATAAAATTTCCATTTAAAAATTTTTATAAATATGTCTAGGCTATTTATACTAATATATTTCTGTTTATGATTTAATAACCCAGCCAACTCTGAGATGCTATGAAGAAAATGATTTGCCTAAACAAAAATTGTATCACCCATTTGTTTAACCCTTGCATCTGCTAATATAAGATCTATAACCCAGAATATTTATAAACAAGGTGACTTCTGGGACTCAAATACAAATTAGATACAAAATTAGATTGAGAAAGTATGAATAAGCCAACAGCTATTCCTACATAAAGTTTCAGGTTTTGAAAAAATGCACAGAACATATGTCTATATTATCGAAGATTAAACACAGCCAGCCATTAGTTAAAGCACTGAAAATAGATTTTTTTATTCAGTAGCTACTGACAATAGGTAGAAGAACTGAGCTTTATTCAGATTCTCTTTTAATGGAGAATGAGGAAGCAGTGAAAGGAATGACTGGGGCTCAGTACAGTCAGGGAAGCAAAACATTACAAAAAGCCAGAGGACAGGGCAGGGGTTAGTCCATGAGAACCCCCTGTGTTTGTTGCCTGGCATTTATCAAAGTCAGGCCCCTGCCCTCCCTCCGAGGCTGGAGACAGAGGCCTATCCTGAGGCTTTAGCAGAAACTAAATTTTCTGACAGTCTCAGGTTTTCTTAGAAAGGCAGGTGAAGGGGCCTGGAGTCACTCTTGGGATGCTGCTTGAGTGTTGGACCATGTTAGTGTTTGTTCAGATCTTCATAGACCACAGCTGAGGCCTAGTTGAGATGAGAGCCTACAAAAGTCTGGTAGAGTTTGGTCATGGAGAGAACTTTGTCAGTATACAGGAAAGCCATCACGAAATAAATCCTTTATCCTTAATGTGACTTTTAGAACAAATATAGAGGTTTTGAGTTCTTTTTTTAAATCTAAAGTTCAGGAAGCAATGGAACTAGATCCCCTGAGAAGGAAAAGAAACTGCACTCTTCACCAAGACCCTTCTGTGTTCTGATCTGGTACAGGAGTCTTCCACATGCATTGTTCACCAGCGCCTCACCGCAGCTCATGAGGGAGATGTATCCTTACATCTAACAGCGGGAACAAGTCTGCTCTAAGGGATGATGCTCACCTACACAGGCCTTATATTCAGTCAGCTCAGGGGCTTCCCAGGTTTCTGATTGGAGTCCTTCCACCTCAGGGTGTGTTTGATACCTCTGACACCACTCTCAGCAGCTACTCCTGAGTCCTCCAGGCT